AGGATGACGTCGAATATTGCGAAGCTCCCGCCAATTTCAGTGGAGTCAAATGTACGAAAAAACAATGTGATTTCCTAAGTAAGCGGGATCACATCTACAGCGGTGCGGTACTAACCCAATGTGACATGAAAAAATGAGCACACAAAAGCCATTGCGATATCCTATCTTGCCGAATCCCTGACGTAACTACGGAAATTTTCGAAAACTAGATGACGTGCGAATCTGAATACCCAAATTGATCCACTTATTCACCTACTCAATTATTGTAAGTGGTTAACAGTGATTCAGCTGAGGTTTCCATGCCCCGCGCAACCAACACAGGCTCTTATGAAATGCTCAGAACGATAAATCCATGTACAGAGTCCAGGCCCCCTCGTATACACTTGCAGTCCCTTCCAGAGACGTGGCAAAAAATAAACGAATAACTAACAAATAGCCGACGTCTGGGTGAGCAGTGACAACGAACGACCCGCAGCAACACAAACGAGATTTCATGAAACCCTGGTTTGAACATAGAAAACTTTTGTGTAAAGAGATAAAGGTTGACTGTGTTTATTCCTGAACCTAAATCTTCTCGTAACGGTGGCAGAATTTTGCGTCTTCCTCCGCAAAATATGGTTCGTAACCGATGCCACTCGCATGCTTCATACCACTCCCAAGGAAACGATTTATCTTCAGCTCCTCCGTAGAAAAGTCTTTCCAGAATTTCGATTCGCGTTGGGAGCTCAGGATAATTCAGTGCTTAACTTCAGAAATAGCTGACTGCGATTCTAATACAACATCGGCAACTCGACTAGCTCTGTCCGGGTTTGGGCTAGCCGGCGACGAGTCAGCGCTTGTGCTACGCTCGGTCAATAATGCGACTGGATTATAAAACGGTTTGCAGCTGAATTATTACTAGAATTATTATGTTACCAGCATTACAACTGCCACATTGCCACTTTGAATTCCAGCAGATAATGTTCAACTGTAGTGCTGTGAGGGTCAGAAAGGTGAACTTAAGTGAATACTGCTGCGCAAGTGGAAGATTTTGAAAGCAAATTGACAGAGGACAAAGGTCGAAACGACCGCCTGTAGATGCATTTTATTTGACCGGTGCAAGCACTGAAAAAATGTAGAGACAGTGCCAATCCAGGTGACCTTACAGGTTATGGCTCATCTGGTTGCTGATCTGTCAGTCAAGCTAAAAATTTGTACTGCAAAATTTTCAGTAGCTATTAGCCTTCCGCGGTGATGATGCTTCCTACGCCGATGACGGTGAAGCGGCTGTAAACTAACTGTCAGGCTGAGCACTCCTGTCATTTTTCATTTCCTCGGGTCCTTGGATAGGCTTGTCCAATGTGGGCGACGCATTAGCTATGAATTTCGGCAGAATGGAGCATATATTGAATACAGTTCCTCCAAAGAGGTCGTGGACGATTGGTTATTTGTTCATTTGCGGAACTAGATAAGAAGTGCGAGCTATGTTCAACCTGAATCCATCGAGTAAAAACCGAAACAGTGCTTAATCCTGACCGATGTGTGTGAACAAAACCGGAATATGCCAGCTCAGCAACAAGGGAATCACAAGATTTTCTGGGGACAAAAATGCAATTCCACCTTACGGCGAATCCGGATGCCCAAAGGCTCAACAATGCACGAACTCCCACCTAGAAGTTCTGGTGGCCAGTCGATGCCTCACTTGTCGGTTCTTCTAACCACTGTTTTGCGGTAAGTTCCTCCGCTTGTGACATGATATCCAGCTAACTGGTCAATTGTTGCGCTGTTTATCACGTGGAGAATACAGGTTCCCAGTCAGCGCCAGCGGATGTGGACGAGTGAGCCTTTTGTCGTACGACTGTTGAGCATCGGGTTGAATGGCCCTCCTTCGACATGTGTCACGTACCGAAATGATCTACCCCGCAAAAACTTAAATATAAAATCATTCAGGCACATCTGGCAATCCCATCGATTTGGTATTGAGGTGATAGACTTCTTTTAACTAATATAACACGTAGTATGATGGTACTTGCCCAAAAATGCCCGAAGTGATCTGGTTGTCTGAATACGGAAGATGGGAAAGCCGAGACCCAGTTCATACTCGACGGAATGGTGAATCGAAACGGGGGATGTTATTCATGCCGAGACTTCTGATGTGCTGAAGCTTTCAAAGGAACCTATATTGCCCACCTTATTTGTACGGATGCGGAAAATTTTCGAACCTGTGTTTTAAATAATCTGTTGCACTTTATTAGAGGAAACCCCTCACTAGATCAGTCTGACTGTCGTCCGTTAATTCGCCTACTGAACAACCGGGTAAACGTTGGGCCTAGAACTGCTGATCACTAGTGCGATTAGCTCGCAGTTAGACTGGATATAGCGCCAATCATCCTTCAATCGTAGAAATCAAATCACATAGTCACATATTGTTGCCAGGTTCCTCGAGTGACGAATTATCAAAATATAGTCATCTTATAAATCCGTTCTTTCTCTGAGATACCCATGGATTGCTGACGTAATGGAGATACTACAAATGGGACAAGCACGAGAGTTATATTTTTTTTCTTCCCGCAAATTCGCTTGAAAAGGAAGATCTTTGTGGAATTTGTGGATTACCTTTGTATCATTTGCTTGGACTTGAGCAACACTCGATGAATGTCCAGAAACGTTTGGCACGACGCGTTTATTTGAAGATGAATGTTCGCCTTCCTGTCCGATAGTCAGTTGGCATTTTGTAATAAATTACTCCGCATGGAATGCATTCTCCATTTGAGTTGGTGCCTTGACCAAGACAAGGATCAAGTTTCCCTGGCCAGAACCGTTCTATAATGGGGATGTTCGAAACTTCCTGCAGGAAATTGAGGATGTCGCGGCGGCCGCTGTACTGAAGACAGACAGGAGGACGCGCGTGACGCCGAAGATTATTCCCAGGGGCCGGATGAAGGCGAAACTGGATGCGGCCAGAAGAGGTTCTTGGAAGATTGATTGGTCCTGCGCGAACGAAGTCCTTGCGGCGGAGTTCGACAAATCGACCGATCGCCCCGGTGTCAAGTTGCGGTGCAATCAAACTTGACGGTTATCCAAGAGCTGCCGTGAGGCTTGTCTGCGGATAAATGAAGCCATGACACAACTCGCGCTAAGTTCGGGGTCATAATCGGGTCACGGAGAAGTTAGCGCACTGCCAAAGAAAATTTGCATAATTTATACTAGAACGCCACTGATTCCGAAGTTGTGCTACCCGTGATACCAAAATGTTGTGAGACGGATGCATATCGTCGAATGCCATGGGATGGCATATACTTTGACAGATTGCCTGCTGTCTCGGTTTGAGAAGTAAGGTGATGGATTATTTGATTTCCAGTAAGCGATGCCAAATGACGGAAGGGGACACGACAGGGGCAATCCACCTCATGGAACCTACTGCTGTCCCAGAAAGCGGCGAGCTGTGGTTTGTGGACTTCACGGGTCCTTTTACTGTGTAACCCAGCAGAAAATAATACATCGCGATAACGATAGAACGCCTGTCATAGTGGAACGAAGCGGCAGTCGTTCCCAGTCGGTAGGCGACTGCGATCAGCGGAGTGGTAATGCAACTCATCGTCGCCAACCATGATGTGCCAAAATGATCCATATTGATCACGGGTCTTGCTTCTAGCGCGATGAGTTTGGGAATTAATTGCAGAAGCTGGGTATCAGACGGCTAGGACGGCACCATATCACCCTCAAACAAATGGCCTAACCGAACGTAATAACCGAAAGATCAAGGAGTGGCTGGGGGCCAAACGAGGTAATTGAGTATTAAATTGCCGATGATGTTGCTAGGCAAGTCCCCGTTTATGCTCATGTACGGTCGAAATCCGCGCCTTCCAGTTGATCGGGAATTTGGCTTGTGGTCGCTAACACGTTCATCTTCGGAGCATCTAGAGGAAGAAGGAAGAAGATCTCGATAAAACTTAATCACGGTTCAAGAGAGGACTAGGCAGAAACCGCCAAGTAGAAAGGAACGAACATTCCCCATAGGCACGAAGGTCAAGTGGAATGATCACCAGAATCTTTGAAGGAGTTTACTGGGTCCGCGGAATCTAGGTGGTCGATGGCGGGTTCCATTTGTCGTTACCGACCGCCTTCGGAACGTCTATAAGATTCAAGATGGCCGGGGATAAGAAAGAGTTATGGAAAGCAGATTCGTAATTGGCATGATACACCAATGAGGCGGCCAACTAGACCCGCTGCAGTAGCCGACTTGACGGACGGAAATGAAAATCGATTGAGTGCGAACGACCTTTGAAGTGTGGTTCGTAAATGTGGTACAACTGATGGGGGAGGCAAATGAGTAGTAAGCTCTCTTCTTGTAAACTCGGTTGAAAAGGGACATCTCTGTGGAATTTGTGGACTCGCTTTGTGCCATTTGTTTGAGCTTGAGCAACGTTCAATGAATATCCAGGAACGTTCAGCAAGACGCGTTTTAGTGATCTACAGTTTTTTTTTAAATGCATATGAGACGTTTGCCTTCCTTTCCAATAGTCAGCAACTGGTCAGTTGGCATTTTGTACTAAACTACTCCGCAGGGAAAACCTCCCTCCTGTCACTGATTTAATGAAGAGTTTGGGAATTTCCCAACTGAGATACACGTTTCCACGATGACATCTTCTTACACAGATCCGTAATAATATCCCCATGGATCAAAGGTTTTTAAAAGATACTCATAAAGTCAGCAGATGCGTGAAAACAATTTTGTGGACTCAAGTTGCTTCTCTGTACTGCCTGAAGCGTATACGTGCTCAACAACTTACTAGAAAACACCACAAATCACCACTGTGCACATATTGTTGGAATAGATTTGCACAAATGATTAGTCACTGATCAAGCTGATCAAAATGATCAATCATACCCTGATTAGCATGAACTTCGTACCGCAGACCTATAAGAATTATGGTGGCTACTTATTTTAACATTATTTCCATACATTTGTAAGGCAAAGTTCGATTCAGAGGAGACGCGCAGTATCAAATTCCAGGCACATGAAGCTTCAAGTAAGCCTGAATATGATGCGTTCTTGTTCGCTCCTTTTTGCGTTCTTGTTCTGGATCGACCACGTTGCATGGTTGAAAACCATCGAAGTCCACAATCGGTCATCCATTTTTAACAATAATCCGTCAAAGAACTGGGTTGTCCTGGTCGCAGGTTCCAACACCTGGGAAAATTATCGACATCAAGTAGGTTTCCGTTGGGTTTTTATTGGCTTGAACCTCAAATGTTCATCTAAATCCCGTAAGAATGGGGTTTCCAGGTGGAAGTTTGCAATAATGGTCCCTGCAATAATTGTCCCCAAACGGTTGTGTCCTACCTAGATTTCCCCATGACTGTGATATTACATTCGGAAAGGCAGCGGATAGAACCCCAACTAATGGACACATTTTGTCGCCTGTATTCGTCTTCGTCAGTAGTTCCTGGTCGTAAAACGATATTACGTTTCGGGTGGGGTCGATTCTACGGTCCTAATAAACTCAGATGTCACTGTGGTGCATAGTGTGATTCGCGTTAATCGGAATCCGATTGTCGCCGCCCATAAGTAATTATTGTTGGGTTATGTTACAAAAAATCACGACCTCTGAGTGGGAGGTATAGTGTTGTACAAAACATGAATTCAATGGTTTTCAAGCCACAGCCAGTCATCTGACCTGACATTGTAGCTTCATTTTATCAGAGAAAATCTCCCGGGCTCAGCATTTCCGTAGCCTAGAGTGACCAGTTATATGAACCAGGACTCCGAAAACTCAAAGTCCTCTGACGTGCCAAAATCATTGGCTATTAAGGTCAGAGCACCGGCACTCCTATGCAATGTGAGCGGAAATATCTGTACCACTTTGTGACATCAAGTAATGTGTATTTGGTATAAAAATATAGAAATCCATCTTTGTCAGATTCGTTCGTCCGCTCACCTACAGTTTGCATGGAGTTACTTGAGAATCGTATTGAAATTGTTACACATAATTAGTGCATCTGTATCCATTCTTTTGCGACATGTTTTTCGCCGCAATGTGACTATTTATCTGGAACACAAGCGAAAGACAAATTCGGACGTATTTTCGAAGTCAAGGGACCCAATTTCGTACGGATTCGCTGAGAAGGTCGTTGTTAGGACACGACTGAATCTAGAATTTTTGTTCAAAAAAGCCCTTCCAGAGTATAATCATATTTCCTGTTTTTGGGATAATGTATCCAAATCCTGTTGTGGCAACTAATGCTCCACCAAATATGGATTATCCTACACTCTCTGCTTGCCTTCTTTGGCTTCGATGCCTCGTTCTGCCTGTCATCCTAGTTTCACGTGCCATTTGTGTTCTCATTCAGGCGGACGTTTACCACGCGTATCAACTCGTGCGTAAAAACAAAGTTCCGGAGAAGAATATAATCACTTTCGCCTACGACGATATTGCAAACAATCCCAAGTAAATATCCCGTACAATTTTCGCTATATGCTAAGAATTTAAGTGTAGCAAAGCGCTTTGTTTTCTGGCTGTAAAACGTCTCATTGTTGTTCCGTATTTCTCATGTATGTAATTTTTCAATTTGAGTTGCAGACAAGTATGTTGTTTCATATGTCACTTGAGAGGTCTTATCAGATTTTCTGTTGGTTGATGACTTTTCATAAATGTAGACGCCACAGAACCATGACACTGATAGCACATTCTGATGATGATGATGATGATGATGAAGATCACGATGATACTGTGGTATACTCGTTTGAGCACTTGTTTCCGTAGCCTAAAATGAAAAAAAAATTAATATCTAGATCTCGTTTTAGTGCATCAGCCAGCCGAGAATTTGATGCAACTTGTAAGTAGAAAATCTAGTAAGCTAAAA